GATCATAGAATAAATAATAATATAAAATAAGTAACGGAATAAATGAAGCTCGAGACGAGATGTGCTACTAAGCGGATGTGGAAAAGCGAATAACACAGAGAGAAAAATTAAAGAGAACAAAAAAACGAGGGAAAATAATTGTAGAAAGCAAGTATAAAGTTAGAAGTACTGGAAAAGGCAAAGATACAGGAAAAGACAAAGATACAAAATGCAGTAACAGACAGTTAAGGTAATGAATTTTCTATTTGATATATTAAACATTTGGGAGAACATGTAATAAGTTCTGATTCGTCTACAATTAGTAATTCAAGCTCTGAATGTAGTGAGTTAGTCAGAGTGATGGTCAAATAGTGACACGAAACATAAAAGTAAGCGCAAGCATGAGAAAAAGAAAGTACGATCAGGGATAAAGGATGGGCCACATGATCAAGTTGAAAAAATGACCTTAAGCATGAGTTAATTAATATATGCACGAAAGCTGTGGAATTTATACGCCTTGCAAGGAGTCAGATTGTGTTTGAGAATTAGAAATTATAAGGAAATGCTAAATAAGTAAGGAAGTGAAAGAGGGTAGATTATAATTTTTTAACATTGCATTGTATTGCAGCCTTGGTAAAGTTGATTGACAAAGATGAGAATTGATCGTCAGATGACACGTCTGTTTTATAAGTTGGCATGTTGTAAAAGAAACTGTTTAATAGGACGTAAAAATTCAATTTCAGACAAATGTTTCCACATATATTCGATAGAAAAGTTTGCTAGTTTTCCCTGTATTAAAGAAATAAAAAAGCAAAATCACAAAAAATACTGAACTCCGAGGAAAATTCAAATACGGAATTCCCAAATCAATGGCAAAATTAAAAGCTCAAACACAACAAACGAATTGATAACAACTGTCAAATTCCTGACTTGGTACAGGCATTTCTTATGTAGAAAATGGTGGATTAAACCGGGTTTATAGCTAGCTAAACCTCTCACTTGTATAACAGTCGCACCAAATAAATGTGACATTACTAAAGATAAACATAATTTAAATATTGCATAGTAGATTTGTAAAGAACCCGTGTGTCACATGTTAAGGGACGACAAAGTTAAACTGAAAAATCCAGAGTGAAACTCTTTTCCTCACATGTCTCGACTATAGTTAGACAGCCGAAAAGTGTTAAAGAATTGAGAGTACATTTTGTAAATAGAAAAATATTGCTGAAATGTGACAAACAGTCAACAGTAATATATTTCATGTTGTAATGGAGATGCTGATATGCGATAGAGAATTTATATATGATGCTGCTAAAAATAACATATATAAGTTTGAAACTAAAGCTGTTCATTTTCCATGGAGTTTCCCGCGATTGATAAACAGAACAGCAAACATTTTATGACGATGGCATTCTTATTCCAGATTCGTCGATTTGTTCTTTTTAATTGCATGTATCACAATGGGTAAATGTATTTTCCTGCCTTTTGCAGTTGACTCGTGATTGGTGATTTATTGTAGATATACAGCTGGATTTGTTTCAAATGAATGTAAAGACGTCTTGCAAGACAGCCTTTTGCAAGACACTTTTAAAAACATTGAAGTTAACGTTCAGCGGAGGAGGTCTTTATAACAATTTTTTACTTAATTCAATTTTTTGAGCATTTCTTTAAATTAAGGCATTCTATTCAAAATTACATGAATGGTGAACGAAGTGAATCTGTTTACTAATTTTTGAGTTTCAAAATTTGATTTGTTATTTATAAAACTTACTTTAAATCTAAAATTGCCTAGGAAAGCTCTTCCTATAATTCCTTTGATTTTAGATTTGTGAAATTACGGCTTTGGCACACGATGGAGGTTATTTTTGTTGATGTTTTTATGATAAGTAGAAATTCTAAGTTCGTACCAAATTCAGAAAACGAATTTATTGAGAATAAGCAACTATGAAAATGTGTTATTTTTCTATACTTTAATTGTTATTTGGAATGGTCTTAGACATAAAAATTTGGCAAAACAAAATGTTTGCCATATTTCTAGTACTCCGGTAATTAGCAGTCTGCCAATTAGAATTTGATACAATTTTTTCCAGCGCAAAAGACAAATCTTGCATTTAATAGAGTAAAAACGGGCGTAAATTACCTTACCGTGTACATATAAAAGTATAAAAACTAGCTTAGTAACTGGATAAAAAACAGTATAAAATTCGTTATCTTACTCTACACAAGGTTTTATAAGAGGAAGGGATGAGGTTTCGTCTGCGTTTGATGAGGAAGCGTCTTAGAAGTTAATTAAACTGAAAGGGAAAAGTAGACAAAATTCTCATTTAAAACGAAATTACAAGTTTCTCAGACGATGTCTATAAATAACTTTTGGTTATTTTATTTTTTTATAATTGTTTCTATGCAGAAACAAGATCATCGGTGATTTTAGTAGTAGTCAGCACCTCGGTGTTTACATGAATATCAATTATATGGTCATTTTTAAAAATTTCCTGTTTATAAAAGTATGAATTTTTCTAAATACTAAGGATTTTCTTATCCCAAGCATAGATTACCTTAGCCGTCTTTGGCACAACTTTTTGGAATTTTGGGTCCTCAATGTTCTTCAACTTTTTACTTGTTTGGCTTAATAACTATTTTGATCTGAGCGTCACTGATGAGTCTAATGTAGACGAAACGCACGTCTGGCGTATCAAATTATAAGTCTGGTACCTTTGATAACTATATAATGTCAGATTATATTGCTAAGTAAGCTGGTGCCTTCTGGTGGACTCCATAGGACGTATTAATTTAACGAATGTGACTTACCGAATTAGACTATTTACCGGATTTGTAATAACATAAGCAACACGACGGGTGCCATATGTGGAGCAGGATCTGCTTACCCTTCCGGAGCACCTGAGATCACCCCCAGTTTTTGGTGGGGTTCGTGTTGCTTAGTCTTTGGTTTTCTATGTTGTGTCATCTGTACTATTATTTGTCTGTTTGTCTTTTTATTTTTGGTCATGGCGTTGTCAGTTTGTTTTCGATCTATGAGTTTGACTGTCCCTCTGGTATCTTTCGTCCCTCTTTTTTAACAAGTACAAAGAGAGTATTTATCAACGGTACAAAAAAGAGGGGCGAAATATACCAGTGGGACTTTCAAACTTATAGATCGAACATAAACTGACAACGCCATGGCTAAAAAAGAAAAAGCCAAACAGACAAATAATAGTACACAAGACACAACATAGAAAACTATAGATAAAGTAACACGAACCCCACAAATGGGGTGATATCAGGTGCTTCGGAAGGGTTAGCAGATCCTGCTCCACATGTGGCACCCGTCGTGTTGCTCATTTTATTACAATTGTTTACTCACTCCTTGCTTTTGTTCAAATTAAATCGACTAACCCAATTTGATTTTTACTGCAAAATGGTTATTTCCTTTTATGGTCAGTGTCTGGTATTCTTCCTCGACCTGTAAATTTTTCAAATATGGAAATAAACATGGTCTTGAGTAGTGAATGTTCGATTTATAAAGTAGAATTTATTCTTTGATATACATATTTTCTTAAATGTGAAAGGTAATAAGTAAAATCACAAAAATACTGAGCTCTGAGGAAATTTCGAAACGGAAAGTCCCTAATCAAATGGCAAAATCAAAAGCTCAAACACATCAAACGAATGGTCAACAAGGTGGATAATTTGCATACGAGGATGTTGGTTTACATGGCTATTACACCAATGTATGGAAGTAGAGAGCTGTGGATTATATATTTTTAAAAGTTGTATCCTCTCATTTTAGATACCATCATCAGGTGGAGTTGAAGGATAAGAAATAGTTGAATTTCAAGTTTTTTATCCATTCTTTCGCTTAGTATTTGGTCAGTGTCATCATGCTGTAGTTGTATTTATTATAATTATGTTTATCAACAGTTGATTCATGTACATGTAGATTCATTATGTGATGTCCTAATGATTTAATTTTACTTTGCAGGTAAGGTTCTCTTCGGTGAGTATTGTTGACGATGTGGAGTGCTGTTTCTCATCATATGAGATATTGTTTTAGTATGGAGAAATGACTTTTAGTTCATGGTAGAAATTACGCCTCGTTGCTGCTTTGCGCTTGATATAACTTCTTGCATGCTAAATTTTCGAAGTCATATTGTTTAATATTCTTCTCTGTTGAGTAAAAAGTCATCGTTCAGGACATTTTTTCATAATTTAGTGGTCTTCGTCTTGGCGATACAAATGTGTATTTTTATCTGTTTGCCCTAATTTATTTTATTTATTTCTGTTTGCTTGCCGTTTATTTGCTTACTTACACACCATGTATAGATGTTGGCGTGACTACTGTTTAAATTGTTTATCCTGTTCTGTGAAACATATTTTGATGTATGTTTTGCTACTGTATATTGTGTTGCAATAAAATTGAGTAACTTTTAATTGGTTTTGTAAGAAGCCTGATGCTGTTTTATGTTTGATTACTTTTAACAACAACGTGGATCACTGTTTACATTGAGCTAAGATGTAATCATATATTAATTCGTTTCAGAACTCGCAGCACATATGAAGTTTATTGTAGAAATTACCCACTCAACCGCCGCTAATAACAATGTTAATAATATTTGTTCTTAATGTATTTATCAATAAATTAGTGCTTACTTAAGTGTGGCTCAAATGTGTACTTGATGTGTTCTGTTTGGCTTAGTTATATATTTATTTCTGAGTGCTTGTAACTTATTTGATAATTAACATATTAAGGCGCGACTGCTGTATACATTTTTTTACTGTTCATCGAAATATATGTGTATGTCCTGTTACAATATATAATGCAGCAATTAAATTGAGTCACTTTTAATTCGTTTGTGAGAAGCCTGGAAATTAAAATTTAAAGTGAGAGATAACGGAAAGACGTGACCTTGATTTCAAGGTAACATTATTCCTCCGTTTTAATGTTCATATTTTAAACAAATATTATGTATATACCGCTCTTGAATTATATATAATATAAACTCTGTATAATATAATAAAAGGAAATGACTTTACTGCAGAAGAGTTTGTTGCATTAATTATTTACACCACGAAGAATAATATCATAAGATTACTTAAGACACGCAAAAGTCATTTGTATATCTATTTTACTAAATTGTCGTTTCAAAGGTGATTGATCGATTGTTAGCTGTTAAACCTCCAGTGTTAAAGAGATCAGCATGTTGAGGACGAGCACTTATTAACAATAGCCCTGTTATAGAGAGGGAAATTTGAACTGCTTCTCGAAAATGAAATCATATTAGACACTGAGATAAAAACATACATTTTGGCTTGCCATAGGTAACTCACAGACACAGTTTTTGGTGGGGTCCGTGTTGCTTAGTCTGTAGTTTTCTTTGTAGTGTTTTGTGTATAATGGTATGTCTGTTTGTCGTTTTTCTATTTTGCCAGGGTGTTATCAATTTATTTTCGATTTATGATTTGGGACTTTCCGTTTTGAATTTTCCTCGGAGTTCAGTATTTTTGTGATTTTACTTTCTGAATGTCCCTATGATATTTTTCGCCCCTTTTTTAAGGAGTTGTTGCATTAGATCTTTACGTGCGAAGAGCGTGTCACTATCTTTGCTCGAAGTGTAGGATTTCACGTCCATATTTTGACCTGATGTGGCTGCTTAATAGTACATTCCGCACAACCAAACATCCCCCTGGGAAGGGTTTAACTGCCGGTTTGAAGAAGACCTACATGACTATATACATATCTCTTATATGCCCTTTAGGTGGACCTTTCAAATTTATACGTAGCTAAAAAGCTACCAGTTTAAAAGCAGGCATTTCAACTAAGCGAGCCGACACTAACGTCCACCCGTCGTGACACTTCTTCATTGTTCAAAGCAAAGCTTCACCTGAAAATTGTAACATTTTGCTTGACTTGACACAGGCGGTCCAAGCGTATACTAGCTATGTATATGTATATGTAACGCAATTATGAAGGTTCACTTTGATGTTTAACGGATTTCTTTTCTGCTAGTTGCCATGCATTATTGGTGTTACCTACAGACAACGACAACAGACGACATGTACAGTTTACTCCCTTACCGCGTGTGATTTTATATCCTTTTTATTTTAGGTAATAAGTACATTCACATGCTGACTTCAAATAATGATTATACCTTGCGAATCGAATTGGAAAACTTTGCGAATGAAATGAGATACGCAGAATACGATTCGTTCCAAATATCGGATGAACTGTCTAATTACCAATTGACAGTCGAAGGTTACAGCGGCAATGCAGGTTCGTATTTAAAGTTTTTAATAGGATTGCTTTATAACAAGACGATACGATTTTTCTGTTTTGATTTAATAATTCATTAATTATTTGTACAAAAGAGGACCGTGTTTCACATTCTCACAAGTTACAATGTTACTGATACGAATACATTTTGTTTGATTAAAATATGATGAATTTTAAGAATGTTATTTTATAAACGGTTTGTTAAACAGGTCGGGAACACTACTTTATATGGATATGCATAAATTAGCATACTTATGTCCTCGCACATGTAATAGTTTATTTCCGTAAGACGCAATATTTTTTTACCGGGGTTTTTGACCAACCCACTAAATGAGTTACAATGCATGATGGACTACTACGTGTTTACAATCAACTGAGAACACGTGTTATTTACTGACATACGACACATTTTTTCATGCATTGCGGGATTAACAATTTTGCATAGTTTTTCATTTTTTTGTATCCACATTTATAGTCAGTGATATAAAGTATTCGTTCCATGCTCAGATTAACGAAGAGTTGTTTCTATACGAAGAAACGAGTGTTTGAATTACCCGAAACATAGCCATTAATATGATTGATGATGACACGGAGATTCAGATATATGTCTACAAGACAGCAACAAAACAACAGTGAAAAACACATTTAGCTATAAGACAAACGTACTAGCGTGAAGCTAGCCATCGGAAACAGCCGGCGTTAATATTCATGAGGCCAGCAACTTTCATACAGATAGATAAAAAATATAAGGGATGCTTGAATTGTGTGTTCTTAAAAAGGGGAAAGCTTGGAGTGTGTCAAATATCTGTTTGGGTAACTTAAATTTTACATCTTTTCATAAAATGATGTTATGATATTGTACCTTCGTTTACGATTAAAAATTCATTTAAGTCGAGGAAGGGTATGTATTTATTAATGTGTCTTTAAGAAACAAAGCACATGTAATCATCAATCTGGGCCATTAATAGCCGACTATACGGTATGGGTTTTTCTCATTGTTGAATGTATTATTGTTGCCTATAATTACTTACATCCACTTCATTTAGAACTTTGGTGGATAGTTGTCTTATTGGCAATCATACCACATCTCCTTATTTCTGTATACAAACCTTTCAGAAAGATTGGTTTTTCATTATGAGATATTTACTGTAAAATACTGTGTTATTTTTATATTTAGAATTTGATAGGTGCAAAACATGTATGAAGCCTATATCATCTATCATATTTCATCAAAACTGCTCAAGACATTTCTTAATTCTTGTCTGAAAATGTTAACAAAATCCATAAGTATTGATTTTGTAAAGTATTTCAGTCTTTTGGACCTTTTTCCTATTTCAAACTGCCTCTTTGTTCTGAAAGTAATGAAGTAATATTTTCCTCAATCATTGCAAGCATCTGTAGTTTCATTTTGTTTTCGTTTTTGCAAATTCGTTTTCTTCCAATGTAGATATTGGAATTTTTGATATTTTTAACGGACTCGGATATTTGCCAATCATAATAGAAATCATTTATGATGCTATCCATGTTAATGTGGTAGTAGGAGGCGAATTTTGATATGTTTTGTAAAAATTGAAGTGTCGGATCTACACCTATGATCATATTCCTCTTATTTATTGGATAATTTTTCTTCTCGTTTAGTATATAAATTAGGCCGCTGTTTTTTCGTTTGAATTGTTTTACACTAGTAATTTTTGGTCCCTTTATAGCTTACTTTACAGCGTTGATTCTATGATCGCTTACTTTTTTTTTTAAGTCTTTACTAGATGGTGTATTGAATGGAGACATGTCTCATTTGGCACTCATACGTCATCTTCTTATTTCTATATACAAAGCACGATTTAGAAAACCGAAATGGGCAACATGGCACCCACTATGATACGGGGGATTTTAACTGATTGAAGATATTGCACATAAGTCTATAGGACAGCAGCCGAACGATAAAAAATATCTCTTAGGTAACAAAGTTAGGATAAAATTAGCAACAGACGGACTTCATCGATGGATGTGTTACAAAAAAAGAAGACGTTGTATGATTGCCAATGAGACAATTCGCCACAAGAGACCAAATGACACAAAAATTAACAACTATAGGTCACCGTACGGTATTCAACAATGAACAAAGCCCATACCACATTGTCAGCTATAAAAGGCCCCGAAATGACAAATGTAAAACAATTCAACAAGAAAACTGACGGCCTAATTTATGTACAAAAAATTAACGAAAAACAAATATGTTACACATCAACAAACGACAACCACTGAATTACAGGCTCCTGACTTGGAACAGGCACAAACATACAGAATGTGGCGGGGTTAAACATGTTAGCGGGATCCCAACCCTCCCCTAACCTGGGACAGTGGTGTAACAGTACAACATTAGAACGAACTTTAAAAATCAGTTGAAAAAGGCTTAACTCATCAGATGGATACAAACAGAAATACTACACAGAGTGGACGTGGCCGGGTACTTGTATATATCCCAACACCAAAAAGACACTAAGTACAGATCTGAGAGTACTCGCAGTTACTGACAGCTAGTTCAAAGCCACTAACAACTAATTAAAAAAATCATGCATCTAAGACTAAATTATCAATCCGTACACATCCAATGGATTTAGTGTAAAGACGTCATAAACAGTCAGAGAAAAACATGACCTTGTTTGTGCAATGCTAAGATACAGGTATCGACAGATTGTAGATCGATGAATGTGTATATGTATATATCAATGATTTTTAGTTTGCATTAATTTACTGATAACAAAATAAATATTAATGCCAATAAAAACAATATTCAATGATCTAATTACAGTGTTGAATTGGTAACCTTTTAGAATAAGTTTATTTAAAGGATCGATAAGTTTACTAGGATCGTTTCTAAATTTCCGGGCACGGTAAACAACATTTCCGTAAAAATGAGGATGTGCTATTTACCTCCCCCGCTTTTTATAACACAATGTTTTGAGAATACTAAATATAAATCTGCTTCTGTCGTTACATACATTATTGCCAGGCAGCCTGTAACGCCACAACGACAACATGCTTGAAATTAAGCAGTGTTTCTGTGCAATGTTCTTTGTTTTTTTCGCAGAAGCAATGTTTTTTGAATGGCATTATACAGGTTTAAAGGATAAGGGTGAAGGTTTGGTACCATTAAAACGTTTCAACCCGCTGCAATTGTTTGCACCTGTCCTAAGTCAGAAATCTGTTAAGTAGTTGTTGTTTGTTGATGTGGTTCATACGTGTTTCTCGTTTCTTGTTTTTTATATAGATTAGACCGTTGCTTTTCCCGTTTGAATGGTTTGAATGGTTTTACACTAGTAATTTTGGGGCCCTTTATAGCTTGCTGTTCGGTGTGAGTCAAGGCTCCGTGTTGAAGACCGTTCTTTGCCCTATAATAGTTTTCTTTTATAAATTGTGTCTTGGATGGAGAGTTGTCTCATAGACACTCATACCACATCTTCTTATATCTAATTAAAAGAGCTCAAATGATTTTTATACTCGACAGCGGTCACTTCATTGGAAATTTCACTGTTTCACGCCGTGAGATTAATGCACAGGTACAATGCAAAGCAATGGACAAAACCTGTTGAACTACTTTTACAAGGCGAAAAAAAAAGTCGAATCGTGAAGCCAGTAATCAATATGTTTTTAATCTGAGCATGCAAATTGAAGATTATGTTATATATTTTACATTAACCACATTCTCTGAACAAAAACATTTATTATGGGAGTCACAGACACTATATAAGTATATTATTTGACAGTTTGTCCACTACATCCACGTGTTTTAAGTGGTAGTAAACTCGTAGTAGCCCACAATGCATTGTAGTTCATTGAGTCGATTGGTCAGTTTTTCAAGGCCATGTTTGCCTTCTTTTTGGGAAATTACTATGCAAATATTTTCTTTTAAAAAAAAAAAACTATGATTCTAGAACAGAATTAATCACGTGATAAATATCTATATATATGCAAATATCAATATCTCTATTTTAAATTTTAACGTTTCGCCTGTTTTGGCAATACCCTTATGTCGTGGCTCGGTATTTTTACATCCCGCCAGTGTTTTAACGTTGTTATGCTATGATCATAATTTCAATTCTCGTTTTTATTTTTTTTTTACTTATGAGCTTTATCTATAGAGTGTCTAAATACCATTTTGTTTTTCTTTGTTTACATAGTTCGTTGTTTTTATAATGACTAGGATAATAACAAAATTTTGACTGCGGTACCCAAATGTTTGACATTTTTACCTATTATAACTGTTTGTCTTGTTCACATATTGTTGTCAATATAATGGAATTTTATGCGACTATCATACTAGTGAGAGGTTAAAACCAGGTGCATTCCATCATCTGATAATTGAGTAAAGCTATATCATATTTTAATTATGCCAGTATCTTAGCACTGAGTGCAGAGCAATTACCTGTTGTTGATAAGTAATCATGCAGCAGCTTCCCTCTAAGGATGACCAGCTAGTAGAAATATGGTCACCATTAGTCTTCCTCCTACCGTCAGTAATACCCAAGCCAGAGTGTGGCGTCTATTTGGCTGTGCGAGATGTACATGTCATCAGCCACCTTCGATTGATTGGAATGAAGACGTTCAATTCGATGCCTCATATAAAGAGTGCAAAGCTCATTGCACGTTAAGAACCGGTGCAACAACTCTTTGGTTGGGTGTCCTGTTGCAAGGCTTAATTTCTGTCCAATATAATCTTTCTGCCGCTGTCCAATTCCTTCGACCATCGTCCAGGACAATCTCTATTACCTTCTCATTGTATTTATTGTTAATTTGTTCTCGTCCTGAACATGCATGAAACTTTTACACTGGATGTTTACACTGGTTAAGCAACTAACAAATCAACCAAGGAGCCTTATCGACCTAGAGATAGAAATTGAAGATAAGAATGTATAAAGTTGGTTTGTTCAAAGTGCTTAAAAAAGTTATAATGTTAATTAACAATTCATTAAATTGAGGCTTTCAACGTTGGTGTATTACCT